ATCAGCGGCAAAGAAGACGCCGCCAACAACTACGCCAGAGGACACTACACTATCGGAAAGGAAATCGTCGACCTGGTGCTGGACCGCGTCAGGAAGCTGGCTGACAGCTGCACTGGTCTTCAGGGATTCCTGGTCTTCCACTCCTTCGGCGGCGGCACCGGTTCCGGCTTCACTTCTCTGCTCATGGAAAGACTCTCCGTCGACTACGGCAAGAAGAGCAAGCTGGAGTTCGCCATCTACCCCGCCCCTCAAGTCGCTACCGCCGTTGTCGAGCCATACAACTCCATCCTCACCACCCACACCACTCTCGAGCACTCCGACTGCGCCTTCATGGTCGACAACGAAGCCATCTACGATATCTGCCGCAGAAACCTAGACATCGAACGACCTTCCTACGCTAACCTGAATCGTCTAATTGGCCAGATTGTCTCCTCCATTACCGCGTCCCTCAGGTTCGACGGAGCCCTCAACGTTGACCTCACAGAATTCCAGACCAACTTGGTGCCCTACCCCAGGATCCACTTCCCTCTTGTCACCTACGCTCCTGTCATCTCTGCCGAGAAAGCCTATCATGAACAAATCACCGTCGGAGAAATCACCAACGCCTGCTTCGAACCCGCCAACCAGATGGTGAAATGTGACCCACGTCACGGAAAGTACATGGCTTGCTGTCTACTGTATCGTGGCGACGTGGTTCCCAAGGACGTGAACGCCGCCATTGCTTCCATCAAGACGAAGCGATCCATCCAGTTCGTGGACTGGTGTCCCACAGGTTTCAAGGTGGGCATCAACTACCAGCCGCCCACCGTCGTGCCCAACGGTGACCTTGCTAAGGTGTCGCGAGCCGTCTGCATGCTGTCCAACACGACGGCCATCGCAGAGGCCTGGGCTCGTCTTGACCACAAGTTCGACTTGATGTACGCCAAGCGCGCCTTCGTGCACTGGTATGTTGGCGAGGGCATGGAGGAGGGCGAGTTTTCGGAGGCCCGCGAGGACCTGGCAGCCCTCGAGAAGGACTACGAAGAGGTCGGCCTTGACACCGTGGCCGACGAGGAAGAGCAGGGCGAAGACTACTAGATACACCAACAAGATGGCTGATCTTAAAACTCGCCAGCGGACGAAACACCTCCGCTAAGTCATTGGTTCAAGCTTTACCATATCATTAGGCCTTTTTAAAAATCTCATTTGGAATCACACAAGAATTAAATTATTTTTGGTACTAAAATTTGTCTTATTCACTCCATAGATTTAACAATGATTTCTCCCTTCAGCCTCTCCAATCATTAATACAGCAATAATAGTTCTTTTGCTAATTCCATGGGAAACAACCAGTAACGATGAGCAGCAACTCAAACAATACTGTAATATACGTAAAGTAAATTATAAATTTCACCAAGATATTCTACAAGTAGTAAGAAAATAATTATAGTATAGGTAAATGCTAATAGCGAGCCGTAATCAAACTGAGCTTTATTACAAGAAACCTCGATAATCTATATAAAAGTATCACAGTTTATCCCTTAAATATGGTGGTTTTCTTTTAAAGCCTTGAGTTTATTGAAAACCTGATGAAACTACGATGGTTATGGCAGTCTAAAATAAACTTTATATTAATAAAGTTTCTTTAATTATACTAAGACATTTATATACATGATTTTTAAAACATAATGTCCCGTTTTCTGTTAATGGGTCCTCTGGTACGTTAGGATAAAGCACTTTAGTACGACAGTTTTTTGACGTTGTGAACTGTCAGGAGAACAGGCTGCACTGCCACTGAGGAACTCATTCCAACTACCCATAGAGCTTCTACAAAAACACCTCAAAAACATCTATAAAATGGTCTGTAATATGCAGAAACGTCAATTTGTTAAAATTTGGAAGCAATTCAAAAGGCTAGGAGACCACAACTGGCCAAATCGTATAGATACAAAGGTGTTATGAGATCACTATAAAATACAATATAGTTCTCAGCATGACAGAAGAGATGACCATTTGCGCCAATGGCGGGAGTGTACTGAAGTCAATTCAATTTCTTTCTTTATTATGCACCCCATACCCATCCCGTGGGCGGTGGTGTAAAGGATTACAGAGGCACATAATCGGCTCAGGAACTGAACCATCTAGTTCGTTTAGCTAAGCAAATAACAGACTTCAGCTCTCTCCTCACTGCGGCAAAATAATAGAAAAAAGAAGTTTGATGAAGATATTTCTTAACGAAATATGGATACACATTATGAAGAAATGTGGCTGTGGATAAAAAAAACTAAGAATATAGAAGTATAATAAGTTATACTTCTTTATACATAAAGAAGTAACTTTATACATAAAGTATATATGACTGAAAACTCACACCCCAGAAGTGACTCGAACCCATACTCCCAGGAGCAACGCAACTGGTAACTAAAGGGCGCCTTAATCCGCTTGACCATCACGGCCGGACAAAAGGAAGTGGTAGCCGAAGCTATTTGAACCACTTCCCCGCCGGCAACTCGGATGGTAATCTTGGGCATAGCATTTCACCAAATCACCTCATTCTTTGGGGTACACGTGAGGAACACGTGTTCCCCATGGGTTCTCCCCTAGGTGTCCTGTTTGCAAACTTCTACATGGGTACCATCGAGCAAAAAGTCTTAGTCGACATGAACTTGAAACCGGCCATATACTGCAGGTATGTTGACGACATTTTTACACAGGTACCTGATGTCAGACATCTGCAGGAGCTGAAGGAGGCATTTGAGCAGAGTTCCGTGCTGCGTTTCACTTACGAGATGGAAAAGGATGGGAAGCTGCCCTTTCTAGATGTAACAGTCATGGAAAAGGGCGGAGGTTTCCACACTGCAGTCTACACTAAGGAAACGAACATAGGAATGTGCCTAAATGCCAACAGCGACTGCCCAGACAGGTACAAGAGGAGTGTTGTTAACGCATATGTCGACCGTGCTCTCAGCCACAGCTCAGAATGGAAGCAAGTCGACGAAGAACTCTGTAGGGTAAGGCAGGTCCTAGTCAATAACGGCTTCTCCAATGGTTTCGTCGAAGACATCATAAGAAGGAAAGTGAAAAGCCATGCAACCTCTGAAGAGACAACCAACACAACACCTATACCCCCTATTAGACTATTTTACAGGAACTTCTTTTCCACAGCTCATAAAACGGAGGAAAGGGTCCTGAAAGATATTGTTAATAGAAACGTTATCCCTACAGACAAAAATCAGAGGATACAACTGACGATTTACTATAAAACCAGAAAAACGGCCAGCCTACTCATGAGAAACTCTCCAGACACAAAACAGAACGCTTTAAAAGAGACTAACGTCGTCTATGCCTTCAAATGCTCTCTTGGGGACTGTAAGCTCCAAAAAAAACAGTATATAGGCAAGACAACAACATCTCTTTCTAGGCGTTTAACGATGCATAAGCAACAGGGCTCCATTAAGGAACATATAATCTCTTCCCACAACCAAACCATCGCCAGAGAAATCCTAGTAAACAACACAGAAATCATCGATAGATACAGCGATAGCAGGCGGCTTGACGTTTGCGAGGCACTACACATCAAGAAGTCAACACCAGCAATCAACAGCCAATTATTGCACAACTATATTCTACCCACCTCACGACTCCGTTCCAATATAGAAGCATCAAGAAATATAGACCAATAGGCTTTCTACAAACACTTCTATTCAATATCCATTGTTTCGTGTTCTGTCTTGTGTTGATGAAATTAATACCACCTCTTGTTCTGTCTTGTGTTAATGCCACCTCACCCCTTCCACCTCACTCAAATGTAGATATAAAATCGGAGATGCGTAAGTTCTATTCAGTTGTGTATTTGTGAACTAAAGTCTTTGAAAATGTAATAAGTTTTACGAAACGCGCTCGTGTCGCGTCAGACTTGAAATAAAAATGAATTTTGGAGAATTGATTTTTGATTTACCTCCAACAGTGAAAAGAAATGTACGAAAGATTGAGAAAATTCGTGTTAGAATTATTAATCTTACTTTTTCAGTCATATTTAATATATATATATATATATATATATATATATATATATATATATATATATATATATATATATATATATATATATATATATATATTTCTCGTGTGTTTCCTGGATATTTGATCCCTTTTCTTCTGTAGAAGTGCTGTAGTTCAGTAACTGCTTCCCCCCATGGCTTCTATGCTGCTGAAACCATCGGACCAGGACGTGCCACCTCACGCTCCTAGCAGTTCCAACATGGTACGGCCCGCGGATCTACTCTCTATCCCCCAGCACCTCCTCCTCTTGAAACACATGAATACCGACGTCAAGGAGCTTCTTGCGACCTCCTGTCACGTTCCAGCTCTCTCAATCTTCCTCTAGAAGTTGTCCAGAGCTCCTCCACGCTGCCTCTCGAGTACTGCTTGAACCTCACCTATGTGGGACCGACGTGCGACGCGACCTGTCACGTCCTTCCCTAGGCGTATAGTGACAGAGCCGGTGACGGTCCCGTCAAGCAGCTCTGGAGCTGACGTCACACTACGTGACGCCATGGGCGCTCTCTGATTGGTCAAACTGGACACACCACCGCATCCGACCAGTCAGATTTCCCAAAACCAGGAGACACCACGTCACCGCTTCTGGAGTATTTGGCGGGAAATGCTGTCTCCTGCCTGAGTCAAGCCGCCATATTTGCTGCAGTGCTCATTCTCACCTCCCCCAAAGGATTTACATCTTAAATAATTCAAATCTTTGGCATCTTGCATTCCTCTAAACGTTATTAAATAAAACTAGGTGCTTTCTTGACTCTTAATTCTGGTCGGGTGAAGAGCGTATTTAGGCGTTCCACGTAACATGCTCCACTCGCCTGGCCAGTCTTAAGTCAATTAAGAAAGCTGCGACCTATAAATATACAGACATAAAAGACCGAAGGAGCTGTGTGTGTTGCTGTTACAGACCTGCCATGGTTGTGGTCCCCCTCAACCTCTGTTGCATCTGTAGATGATGTTGACGCCTTGATGAACGCCGAGTCGTCAAGTTATAACACAAAATTAAACTGTGGTGATCGAAAGTCATTAAATGTTGCTGGTGTGCAGTCTGGCGGCCGTCCTCCAACCAAGTCCATTCCATCCAGTGGTCAACCCCAAAGACGCATTCATAAATTTTAACATTCGGTTCACTTAAAACAGAACATTTCTCAAATATAGATTCATATTATTATATATTAGCATATTGTGCATATTTAGGCACTGGTTAGGTTAGGTGTTTAGGTTCTGTTGGCGATTATTTGTATTTGTAGTACGTGGGTGAAGCATTTACAGCGTTGTGGTTCGAACAAAATTCGTCAGTTGTTCCGGATATGTTCGAACGTCAGCAGTTGTGAGTCGTGTGTAAACCGCTTTTCATTCATAAACAGGGGGTTTGGCGGGTGCATGGAATCACTTTTGGATCTTTGTTTGGAGGACGGGCTGCATTTACAGCATTGTGGTTCGAACAAAAGTTATCAGTAAAGCACTTGTTCCGGAAGTGTTCGAACAGTCATTAGTTGTGAGTTGTGTGTAAATCTGTTTTCTTTCATAAACAGGATATTATTTTTGCAATGTTAAATGGGATTCTTGTACTGTGATTTGTGTATTTGTACTCACTGAATTTGTGAGTTCCTTGACGGACTTGAAGAAGAGGGGGGGGCAGAAATAGCCTAAGCTACTCTATCTCTTTGAGATGTATTTTTTCTTGTCTCAATAAACATACTTGAACTTGAACTTGAGAAGTCAACACCCATATCAGAAGATATTTAGAAAAATTGTGTAACTCCCTTGCCATAAAACTCTATTACAAAATCCACTATGAGCTCTTTTTAATGGCAAAATTTAGCCATTTTGTGTAACAACTGTTATAATCTCATACATTTAATAATCATAGTAATCGAAATATTCATATTTTATATATACAAGAGATGAAACAGTAAGCCATAAGCTAGATCTGTGTGTCGCTCCTGAGGACGTCGATAAGGAGACGAACCTTCCAGCAAATACCTTCTAAGGTATTTGAAGGGAGCAAATACCTTCCTGTGATTGGCTGTTGCTGGGAATGCCAACACTCTTTCTATAAATTATATGCAAACTAAGAAATAAGTCTTTTTGCACAACAATCTCTTTATTTCAAACACAACCTCTTCGTTATGTACAAGACAGAAATTTCCATCTAACTGAATAATTTAGTTCAATAAGAGAACGGAGCAT